TACGCAGAGCTCCTTGCGCAAAAGCTCAAGTTCCCCGTGGCGGGGGAAAAGAGGAGGAAGGGGAGGGGGAGAAAAAAAGGCGAGTTTCAGACCGCCGCCGGCAGTCGGCGGGCTGCGTCGGCCGCTAGACGGCGCTGACGCGACGCAGCCGTCAGCCGGCCGACAGGAAGGCGTTTACGTGCCGGGCGCGATGAAGGCGCGAGCGATCAGTGCGTACACCAAGCACCAACATTTGCTGATGCATCAATGACATTGCCATTTCAACTATGCGATGCTAACAAAAAGACCAGCATTCTACTTCGCCAACTTCATTTTGGCGAAAGTTTTTGTCCAACTCATGACAAAACATAAAAAGAACACTACTCGCCGCCTTTGCGCGCCGCCTCCACCCACCGCTCGGCCAGCCATTCGGCCGCCGTCAGCCGCTGCAGGGGGTTGTGCGGGCAGAACCGCTGCCCGCGGAACTGTGTATGGCCAGCGTCGGTCACGGGCCACCCACACGCCCTGCAGCGGTAAACATTGCGCTAGCGCGGCGGGGGCACCGGTAACAAAACACCGGAAACTCGCAAAAACATATTTTGTATGGTTGATAGTGGTTTGAGAGTGTGTTGGCTGCTTCCTGCACATACCACGGAACCGTATTCAATGATGGGAAGAACTAAGGACTTGTATAGATGTAATAACGTTTAGCGGTCGGCAACGTATCTTGACCCGGAAATGCATCTAAGGAAATGTAGTCGTTTTAGGGATTTGGAGTGAACATGCTCCACGTGCTGTTGCATCGATAATCTGGGGTCAAGTACGATGACAAGAAATTTGAAGGACGAAACGAAAGGAATGTAATGTCCATCTAGTCGGAGCCGAAAATTGGGAGTACCACCTATATTTTTACTGAAAATGATAACTGCAGATTTGGGAGTGGAGAAACGGAACACGCATCGTTCTGACCGCTGCTGCACATTGTTTAGGGCGGATTGGAGCCGTGGCAGCGAATGGCCATATTCAGCATCCGAGCACCAGATCGCGCCATCATCCGCAAAAAGTGAAGGGAAAATGCCCGATGGTAATGAGTCAAATAAATCGTTTGCCATAAACTTAAAGAGAATCGGTGAGATACAGCTCCCCTCTCGGAGGACGTTCTCTAGATGGTGAGCGTCGGAAACGGCGGATCTGCATCTCACACGAAATGATTTGATGCCGGAAAGAAACCCGATAAGATAATGTGCTAAATGGCCTTTAAACCATAACTGATGGAGCTTGAAAATTAGTGCAGGTTTAAAGACCGTGTTGTAGGCTCGGCTAATATTCAGGAATAGAGTAATCGTGTGGTGTCGATATTTAAAGGAACGTCTGATGTCAGTTTCCAGTCCGATGATACGGTCGATTATGCTACGATTGTATCGGAAACCACATTAATGTTTTGTGAGCAGGCAGTCTCGTTCTGCAATCCAATAGATTCGCTTCACCACCATCCGCTCAAAAAGTTTTTCTAGACAGCTTGTAAGTGCAGTTGGACGATAATTTGATGGATCTTTGGTGTCTTTTCCTGGCTTTGGAAGTGGAATAATGATGGTGTTTTTTCAGGCGTCAGGAAAGACATTGGTTGAACAGAAATCATCAAAAACTTTCAAAATGAAATCAAGCATATCTTCTGAAAGATTACGAAGAAAGAATAGTGTAATTGATCATGACCTACCGAGGTGTTGCCGGAAGGTTTTATAGCCTTTTGTAGTTTCAGAAATGAAAATGGTAAATTATAGTCTACGGTATTATTGGAAGCAAAACAATTAGGATGTAAACGAAAACGGGCTTGCGCAGTTTCCATAAATCCTGGTTGGTAATTTCCCGATGAGCTACACTGAGAAAGACTTTCAGCAAGAGCATTGGTGATAAGAGGTGTTGCAGAAGCGATTTGGTTATTATTGCGTAAAGTGGGCAGTGAAAGAGAAGTGCGTTTTCCGGAAAGTGCTTGAACCAGCCCCCATAGTTGGCTCAGGGGAGTTGCAGCAGTAAACTGCTGGATGTATGCTTGCCAAGAATGACGTCTGGCACTCCTTATAACTCGTCTGGTTCGAGCACGCTCATAATTTCGGGCAAGAAAATGAGGTACATCATGGTGGTGACGAAAGAAGCGGAGAGCACGCTTCCGACGCGCAATAGCATTCTTAACTTTGTTCGTCCACCGTGGTACTGGGATGCGGCATGATGGGGTTTTAGTCAGTGAAATTGTCGCGGTCGCTGCAGCATGAATAATACGTGTAATGAGGTCAACAACCTGCTCGGGTGATTTATAACAGTCGCGGTTCGCATGACAAAGTTCTTGAAATTTGGCCCAGTCTGCTTTTCGCAAGTTCCAGTGGGGTATGAATCGCAAACTTCGTCAGCGGTTGAGTCAAAAGCGGTGTTAAGTTTAATTGGAAAATGGTCGCTGTCGCATATATCTCCCTCAACAGTCAAATCAAGGTATGTCGCTAGAGATGAAGAGCACAGCGACAGGCCGATGGCGGTTTTTGTACCAGTGGATAAGTGGTGATAGGTATTATTGTCTTTGTTAGGCAGGACTAAGTTGTGTGCATCAATAAAATCTTCAACCAAATGTCCTCGGCGATCAACGGCTTGGGTGCCGTTACTCCACGTTGGACTGTGAGCGTTGAGATCGCCGAGGATGAGAAAAGGGTTTTGACATTGAGCAACGAGTTGGTCAAGTTGTCGTAAGAGCTCCGTATTATTATAATTTGGTGTGATGTATATTGAGCATATAGCGATGGTTCGGCCATGCAGGCGAACTGAACATGCAACAGCCTGAAGAGGTGTGTTAAGAGTGAGTTACGTGTGCATCGATTCTTGACTGATGTACAGCGTCACCCCACCTTGGCGACGCTCACCGTCCGTGGCGTCACAGCGATATAACGAGTAATTTGGCATTTTAAAGTTGTATGGGTCGGTGGGACGAAACCATGTTCCCTGTACGGCAATGATGATTGGAGCCTAATACGGCAAAAAGTGCTGTCATTTTGGACCATTTTGAAGTGAGACCGCGACAATTCCACTGTAAGATGAAAGACATTTAATGATGAAGGGACCCATCCCCACCGGTTGATAGCAATCGCCCGAAAGAAACAGACCTAGGCCGTCCCACCGCCACCCTCACCGATGGACGGGACCGGCGGCCTTCGTTCGGGCGTGTTTCGATAGGTTCGTGTGGTGGCCAGAGGGACCGGGCAGCCGACTATTCATAGCCGGCGGGCTAGAACGCCGGACGGCATGACCCTCTGGCCACGTGAATCACGCACAGCCGGCGGGCTGGAGCGCCGGCCAACCTGGGGACGGGGGTGTACGGGCGCCTGCGCATCCGAGCGCCCAGTCAGGGGCGACTCAACGGCATTTTTTCGTCTGGGTCTGTGTGGTTGACTCAGCTGAGACAGAGGGGCGGGGGGTGAGAAGCTTCAGGGGAGGCAGATGGGTAATACAGTCTGTTTGTGATTCACATGTGGCCATCGTGGCTTTTACCAATTGTGTGTATGTTTTGCTGGACTGCGATTTCATTTTGGATTCAATAGTGCGCCGTGCCCCGGGGTACGAAGCACGTGTCTTTGCCTTTTCAGAACATTTTTTCCATGTGGGACACTGAGGAGAGTTGGCGGCGTGATCAGCACCTCCACAGCTCGGGCATTTCTGGGGTGATATGCAGGCAGACCTCTCGTGAGGAGTCTCGCCGCACTTCAAGCATCTGGCACATTGCTTTCAATACTTGCTGCCGTGTCCGAGCCATTGGCATTTGAAACACCTGAGTGGATTTGGAATCAATGGCCTTACTTTATAATGAAGGTAACCAGCGGCGAGCGTGTCTGGAAGTCGGGTGGTAGCAAACGTGATAACGAGCAGGCTGGTGTCGCGACGCTGACCATCTCTGAAAGTCGTCAGCCGTCGGACATGACAAACTTGCTCGTTTCTGAGATCCGCCAGGATCTCGTCCTCCGTCATGAAACGGAGCTCAGGCGCGAAAATAGTGCCCTTATTGGTGTTTCTAGCATGGTGTAGGGAAACTTTTACTTGTTTGCTGCAAAATTCAGTGTTTTGAGTAAGGCCCTGGTTTGTGGGGGTGGTCGAAAACGAGTGAGGGTCAGAACCGGGGGCGTTGGACGGAGATCTGCTGTCTAGCCACCGTGGTAGAAGTGCACGTACCAACGGTCATGGCCTGGGGCGCGCAAGGGTAATCAGGCGATGTTGCGGCCAAAGCGGAGCCGGCGGCACTTCCGTGGTCCGTATCCAGGGCCGTATCAATGTCGGAGACCGGGTTCGAATCTGTGTCGGTGTCATCCTTCTTGCGCTTTCCGCGCTTCCCCATAGTGGGTCAGCGGGAAGAGAGCAACTAAACTCAAGTGGAAGATGCGAGTTTTGGACCAAGAGCGAACACAAAAGCAACGAAAACAAAGATGAGAAAAAAGGACTCCTTGGCAGAAAGCCGCAAAAGGGGGAACGCTTCTATCAGGATTGGTATTGCCAATCGGGCACAGTCAGCGAGTGGGTCGTTGTTCCTGATGTGTGATGGCTGTGCCTCCTGCGCCTCGCCGAACTGACCTAGCCTCCCCCGGAAGGCTCCGGCCACGTGACACGGTCAGCCAACTTGCTGGGCTGACCCAGCCTCCCCAGGCAGGCTCCGGTCACGTGATGCGGTCAGCCACCTCGCCGGGGTGACCCAGTCCAGGGACAGCTGGTGGTCTGACCGGTCACGTGCGCCTGCGCCATTCGCGCGCCCACAGCCTGACCTTGATCGGGGCCGGGCAATGTTAAGCGCTGCTCCGCCCGAGTACAGGTCATGACTGGTGGAGCGATCACAGTCAAGAAACCACTGCACCTCAGTGGCCTGCGCTTGGGGTCAACACAGCTGCGTCGGCCAATGACAGCTGCAACCGAGGCCCTGTTTCGAGCAGTCATGTGCCCGCAGACTGACACCGACCCCGGCGAGCACTGGCCAAGCGAAGCGCCACTCCGTCCGCATGGAGGTCAGTGTGGAGTTTGTGCTATTGGCGTTTGATTAGATATCTTATACCTCACAATGTCATTTGACATGGACCTAGGACGGTTCCAGCGTGGTTCCATTATGTGAGCGTGGATCTCAGTGAACCGGTCAATTGATAATTTATATGCCGCCATGTAGTAGAGTTGTCAAACAAGCAGCCACCTGACCTCCCCCCCCCCCCCCTCCTTATCTATGCAGCAAGACATACTTTAGTTGTAAAGCTGGTCTAAGTCCTCCTGGATAGCACGACGCATTCGAAAGTCCTGATATGTGGAGCTTTGGAGTCGTAGTTTTGTCGTTGCGCTGTCGTATGGATGTATTGTGTAGTGCCTTGTCACGCATTTTGCTCTTCGTTCGGGTACTCATCTATCCAACGGCCAAAGCTTACCTATTACCGATACATGCTTTGTGCGTCTCAACCTACAGTCCTGCTTCTCAGTTGTTCCTTAGGGGTGTGAAGAGGTAAAATATGCTTGAATAGGCACATTTGTTCTGTATAATGCTAGATGTTACGACTGCTCAAGCCCAGTGCACAGAGCAAGCAAAGCAGGCAGCACCACCATTCTTTCCCGCCTCCATGTTTTGAGAAAGCCGGTGCAAAGCGCCTATTTTCGCCTGCTCCACTTCTCCACGGACCAGACCTGATCCAAACACGCCCCCAGCCGTCGCACCCCTCTGGGGAGGGGAGTGGAGAGCCGGATCCTGGGACAGCCGGCGGCGCTCCTCGCCCGCATGCGCCTCCCGCCCCACTGGGACTCACATCAAAAAGGCACCCACCGTTCAGCAGCGACTCATTCGGTATTCGACCGCCATCGCCCGCAGTGCGATCTCTGCCTCGCCAAGGCCTCTGCCTTTGCCTTTGCTGTCGGTCTGCTGGTGCTGCTCTGCGCGCTGGACAGCTCCGGCCAGCGGCGCGCCGACTTCTGCCGCATCACGCAGCAACACTTCCTATGCCAGCAACGCGAGCCGTCTCCCAACTGCGGCCAGGTCTACCAGCGCGGAATATCACGGCAGCTCGCGCAGGACTTGGTGCATGTGCACAACGTCATGCGCAGCCGCGTGGCCCGCGGCCTGGTGGACGGCCAGGGGGGGGGGGGCAAGCTGCCGCAAGCCGCTGACATGCTGGAACTGACGGTGAGTAAGAGGCCCGCAGGAGCTTGAAGGTGGCCAGAGGGAGATACGACATCGTTCTGGAGACGGGTTTCTGAAGACGGTAAGTGTGGGTCAAAGGGCTCTGGAGATGGCCGGAGAGATAGACAACGCTCTGGGGACGGTGAGTGAGAGGTCCACAGTGTTCTGTACGTGGCCAGAGGTAAACAGCAGTGCTCTGGAGATGGCGCGTGGGAGTCTCACCACCCACATTCTGCCTTAATCGCAGAATTGTCGCAAGTTAGGGATGCCAGATAATCAAAGGCGCTTCAGTCATGGTGACGTGTGATGCGCTGGCCAGTGATGGTGGAGGGGCTGGCCTCTATTTTGTTGGTAGATAAAGCCACTGTCTGGTCCACCGCTAGAAGTGTAGATGCCGACATTGTCTCGCGCATTCCCGTACTGCTAGATGCAGTTTCCTTGTTTCAGTAAAATACATCACATTCTCATTCTTTTTGGAAGGAAAGTCCGGAGGCGGTCGTACAATTCTGAATAGGTATATGTGTAGTTAAGTATACTTTTGGTCTTACTAAGGTGAGATTTGTTGACTCTTAGACATTGCCTTTTGGTAAGCACACCCTTTTAAATTCGCAGTGCCTCAAGGCATTTTTTTGCTTGTTGATAACTAATGAGATGAAGGATTACGTGAGTTTAACCACTATGGAGAACAGACGCTTACCCAGACTTTGCCTGTATTTCACCCTGTTTTTCTTCTTCAGGTATGGGACGAGGAGCTGGCGGCCACCGCCCAAGCACAGGCGGAGCAGTGCACTGGAAACCATGGCTGCAGCGAGTGCCGAGCTAGCCGTAATACCGGTAAAACGACTTGGAGTCAAAGGTGTTCACTCAAGCTACTGAAATGGCCAAAAACACGGCCGAAATGCACATGTGCGCACTCGCTTAAATTGCATGTTTAATTTACAGCACGTTTCTTCGTCGTCTGCCAGAACATCGCGACATTCAGCACGTCCCAGCGGGGCGTTGAAAACTTCCACCAGAAAGTACTGGATTTGGCCCAAACGTGGATTGCCGAGTCCGTCTACGCATCTGTGGACTTCGTCAACACTTTCGAGTAAGCAGGCGTCCTTGCTGAGACGACTGACTTCATTTCCGATGCTGGACATTATATGATAAGAAGACTTAAACCAGGATAAAAAGTGCGTGGAAGACCACCATCCAGGCCAGAGTCGCGGAGTAAGAAATAACTGCGAGATAACAAATGGACACATCTATGTGAAATCGTACACAATATTGTTGCCAATATCATTGTCCTCCGAGAGTAAACCGTAGGCTGTTGACCCGCGCTGGGGTCGGCGCGGCGCGCCTCACCGCCTCCCAGCAGGGCGAGCGCTGCTTGTCGTCGCCCCCCCCCCCCCCCCCTCCACCCCAAGCAGAGGCGATCGCGCTTGTACGTGTGCCGTGATTTCAGTCAGGGATGCTGCCACACCGGCACGTACGGCCACTTCGCCCAGGCGGTCTGGTCCATCACCCGCTACATCGGCTGTGGCGTAGTCACTCACCAGGGCGGCCTGGGCACGAAGGTGAGCACGCAGCAGGGGCGGGGACGGACGAGTGAGCACGCAGTGCAGGATGGGGGAGGGGACGGAAGGGGACGGGTGAGCACGCAGTGGGGGCGGCAGGGGACGGCGATTGAACGGTGTTGTGCATCAAGAGCAGTGCCTTCAAGCGTTCTATGTGATGTTTAATTGTCATTGCCGGGCCGCACATACTCGTGGAAATATACCTGAAAATACCTGTAAATATACCGCACATACCTGTAACTGGAAATACCTGAGTTGTTTTTTCTCGCTGATGACCTGAGAGCATACGATAGCCTTACACCTATACCCACATCTTAAGAGGCGGTGAGTAACGTTTCCTGCATAAATTGGCGAATCTTCGAAATATCAGGAGGCATAATGTAATGATTACGTAAGTATTATTCGTCATGTGCCATCAGCAGCCAGCGGAATGTCTCTCTCGTCATCGCAGAATGGTCCAATCGCCCCCATGATCCGGACTATGTGAATGGTCTAGACAAACATCGTCTGCATGGGTCGAAACGGTGACAGGTAACAACGCCGCTGATGTCCAGGTGCTGCTGTACTGCAATTACGGGCCTGGTGGTATTGTCGTCAGCAAACCAACGTACCGAATGGGACGGACGTGCTCTGCGTGCCCGCAGGGCACCAAGTGCGACTCGCGGTACGACGGTCTCTGCAACGTGGCGTCGTAGTTGGCCGACACCGGTACGTAGGCTGCGCTCTGACCTGAGGAGCGATTCCTGAGGGGCCCCGGCACGCTGCCGTGCTGTGCTGTTACACGGGTGGAGGCGGTTGGTCGTTTGACGCCATGGTGATTAAACGTGGTGGTTTGTCGCATACGGAATGCCTCTGCGGCGTGGCTCAACATCCGCCGTCTGACCCTAGCGCACCCTGGCCGCCAGATGCACGTATGTGCCACGGC